TTAAGTAGGAGGTGAGTGAAAATGAGAACGGTGACAAAATTTCCCCCCACTCCCACCCAAAACCTCTGTATCTGCACATTTTTAACTTGCCCTTGATCCCATCTTAAAGACACAGTCAGTTATTTTCCCTAGTTAAGTGGGGTTTTTTTTTGTCCTGGCTGGTAAAAAGGAAGAAAAATTCACACCAGTGTTTCTCAAGGGTAATTAAAAATAGTGACCTGTCAGGGAAGGATGGAGTGACACAATACCTGCTCACAATACCTCAGACCTGCAGGGCCAGGATGTGGTTGTGAAAAGAAATGTGGCTTTCTAATAAATAAGAAATTAACACCAGGTGAAGGAGGGCTTCTCTCCAGCATGTGCCAGAGCAGGTCCCAGCAATGCCCTGCCTCTGCATGGAGGTGCCCCAAGGAGCAGCTGCCCAGGGAGGTCACTGTGCCTGTCCCCTCACCCTACAGCTGCTCACTCACAGCTGCAGGGGCTGTGCTTTGTGAGGATGGGGGAGGACACCTGGAGAGGCCCTCCCAGAGCCCTGCGGTTAAGCAGGTGCCCTGCTGAAACACACACACCCCAAAGCACTCACAGCAAGGGCTGCTGGAGGTGAGCTGACATTTACACACAACCTGGGTTTAGTCCCCAAAACCATATGTTTTTGTGAATGCAGGCTAACACCAAGCAGAGTGCATGGAGGGCTACCAATCCAGAGGATGAACTGCTCCCTCAGGGGGGAGAGGTAGCCTGGAGCAGCAGTTCTAGAGCCTGAAGTTCAGTTACCTGCTCATTTATACTGCTCTTTCCCAGGACCTTCAGGACCTGACCACTTTGCTGTATTCCTAAGAGATGATGAGGTGTGCCTCTAAGTTATCCTCCACTCTTCTCAAACTCTATGAATCCCAGCAATGATTGAATTTTAGGGGTTTGTTCACTTAACCAGCTAATACATAACAAACACTTTGAGTCAGCATTATCCTCTAATATGATTGCACTGAACTCAAGCCAAAACCACCAGCAGTTTTATTTCCGGCTACACTGCATCTTCACCACCAACAGAGCAAGCAGCAGGTACTGACAACCCTCTGCAGCAACCCTCAAATCTTTCTCACGTAGACATGGCATCTACAAACAAACAAGCTTGTCTGCATTCAGATCCACTGTAACAGAACCAGATCCCTCTCCTACCTCAGTTACCTTCCTTCCTCTTCCACCATTTAGAGTTCACAGTGAAGGTCCTCCTGCACCCCACAGCTCTTAAATCACACCCTCGCCAGTTCCTGACACCCTTGGCCTCAGCTTTGACAAAAGTAAAAAAAAAAAAGTAAGCTCCTGTTCACTTCTCAAAAGAGGGAACCACCTGCCTCTGCAGGAGCAGCCTTTCTGTCCTACAGCTCCCCTAAGCCTTCCTCTCCACTGTGCCAGGGCACCATGAGTAACCTGTGCTGGAGCTGGAGCTCCTTCTCTTGGAGTATTTGGGGAGAAGTAAAAACCACTGCTGATATCCATGTGCCTCTGTCTGCCCTCAGCCAGCTGGCTACTGCTGGGAAACCAGTTTTGCTCACAACAAGCAAAGTGTGCTCAGTCCCCTCCCACGAGGATGGAAATGAAGAACTGGGATCTTTTCTCTCCCATGGGTCTGGCAGCTCACCCACAGCCAACACAGGGTGCAGGCTGGGGGTGGCCACAGTGCCCCACGACAGATGTGGGGACCACTTGGAGGCAGGAGAGCAAGGAAAAGGCATAGCCAGAGCTGTACTGCAAAAATCAGAGCTGGTAGTGGAGAAGTAATGTCAAGGCTCAGGACAATTGTTGCCAAGGTTCAGTTTTCAGTTCAATAGTGCAACAAATTGATGTTTGGGTTGTGAAGATCCAGGGCAAAAATTCACCTGTGACCAGCTGGTCCATACAATGTTTTTAACAGTCAGACCCAATTAAGAAACCTGTAGGTCAAGATTTGAAAGTTTTTCACTTCAAGGTCAACTGCTTTTTAGCCTGGTTACTTCTAAATTGGGTAGAATGTGCTTGTCCAACTACAGTTTCTCAGCTAGCAGCAGGACATGCAGATTGGCCTTGAAATGTCACGTAAAATGATTTGTACCCTCAGTAATTCACTTCTTTGAGGTTCTGATTGTTGATATATTACTACCAGGAGAGTATACAGCATTACAAAAGAGAACAACACTTTGTACCTCAAATGTCTTGACTTCAAAGCATTTAAACTTTATAAACAAAGAGATATAGACTCAGTCTAGCACCAAAGAAAGCAATTTATGTAAGCAGAAAGTCTGGAACAAATAATTAAAACACGAGACTAAACAAAAACATTTGTGAGTTTGTTGAAACAACTTTGAAATATAAACTCATTTTTTCTGTGTATATTTACTTGCACTTTACCTAAGGGTGTGCTTTCTTACTTGTGTTGCATCTGGAAGCACATCAGTGGTAGCCACGTGAAGCTCTCTGCAGGCTCTTTTCCTGGAGTGCCCCAGCCTCATTCCACAGGCAGTCTGGACGTGCCAACCTCTCTGACAGCGTACGGATGTTTGTTCTAAACATCCAGGTGAAAATGGCAGTAGCACACCTGCCATCCCTCTGCTTTTCTAGGAGTTACTTCCCCAGGGTAAATACCTCTGTTTTCTGTGACCTATTGGAGTTATGCAGGATTTCTATAAACTAGTTCCCCAAAAAACTGTTCTGGACGATACACTCAGCTTCAACACCTTCCATCACACCTCAGTAAGCTTTCGGCAATGGACAGCCGCGGTTGGGAAAGGCACTGCTTTACTATTTTTCTCATCCCGAGGACCTGAAGCAGCCTCTCAGGGACAGTGGGATGCAAGGGCAGCGTTGAGGCTTCAGGAGAGCGGGAGGGCAGCTCAGCGCACCCCGGGCAGCCCAGGGAGCCCGCGGGCACCCGGCCCTGGCCCCGCGCTCCCTCACGGCCCCTCACGGCGGGCCGGGCCTGCGGCGGGCGCGCGGCGCCACCTGGCGGGCAGCGGGGCCCGCACACCGAGCGCTGCCCCCGGGCCGGGCAAGGATGGAACGGGACAGAGTGCTGTGACCCGGCAGGACAGGCACAGACAGGGATGGAGCGGGACAGAGTGCTGTGACCCGGCGGGACAGGCACAGACAGGGATGGAACGGGGCAGAGTGCTGTGACCCGGCGGGACAGGCCCAGACAGGGATGGAGCGGGACAGAGTGCTGTGACCCGGCGGGACAGGCACAGACAGGGATGGAGCGGGACAGAGTGCTGTGACCCGGCAGGACAGGCACAGACAGGGATGGAGCGGGACGGAGTGCTGTGACCCGGCAGGACAGGCACAGAGCAGGACACCGAGTGCTGTGACCAGGTAGGACAGATACTTTAGCCCAGTAGTGAGAGGCAAAGCAATGCACCATCACCCGTTCTCTTGCTGGCTGCACCTGAATGACACCATGGAGTCTCAATACCAGCAGATCTTACTGCAGGGGTTCCATACTGTTATCTCCTTACCACAAAAGTTCCATACCTTCTCGGTGTTTCTCATGGGCATCTCTTCAGAGCACTGACTTCTTCACAAAGCAGCCAACTGACTCCAGCTCCCCTCTCACCCAGCCACCCCACTCTTCCATAGCATCTTCTTCTCATTGGTTACAGCTGTGTCCTGTTAAAGTCAGGCCTGCTCCTGATCTTTGATAATTGGCCCAGCTGCAACTCCTTAGGGGTAAGGTTACTTCCTACACTACCTTTATTTTCTTATATTCGATCCCCCTAAACACATCCATCACAAAGTCAACAGCATTAAACAGCACAGGTAAGCCCAAGAGGTTTCAGCTTCTCATATTCCTGCTTTCAAGAAAGGAGCAGACTTTTTTTTTTGGTGGCAGAAGTGTATTTAATAATTTTCATATACAAATTAGGAGAATGCACAAAAAAATTGTTATTGTATCCAAGTGAAATAAGCCAAACCAACACAATTTAATACTTAAAAAATACTACATTGATTAAGTAGCTACAGTGGAAAGAATAAAAAGCTTTTCAATTCCATTTTTTGCAAAATTACATTCTAAATACTCCCTTGCTCACACGAGTGCAACCCCCAGTTCAAAAAACATCCAGTACAAAATAGTTTTAAACCCACATATTATCATCCTGCAATGAAAATAAATTCACATTTGAAGAAAGCCATCACAGTTTTTCTCTTATGAGATTATTGCACAAAACAATCATGTGCTTTTTCCCACAATCATTGATACTTCACAGCCATAGTGATTCCAAAGGCAGTGGTGTGAGATTCCAGCATTTGTTGCTGCTTAAGTATGCCACATAGAACATGCATCCTGCTTTATACAAATGAAATGTATAAATTCAGCTGATTTGCTGAATTCTTTCCTTCTCGTGCATAAACCCACAGTAACCATTTTGCTGCACTGATTAGGCCTTGTGAGTCTGTGGTGACCAATTCTGACTGATGGTGATGATACATAAGAAGAAATCATAACCCAAGTAATACCCAAGCTGGGCTGACTTCACAGGATCAACATGACAGAAAGGCAATCAAACCTATTTCTCACTCAAGCAAGCTCACTATACTGATTATATTCTCAAAGTACAAAAATAGGCCATATATTGAGAACTGAGCTGTATTCCTCACAGAACCAGATCCCAGAACAGAAGCACACTTGAAGTTCACAGTTCCATGATAGTCCTGAGATCCTTTGGCAGGGTTGAGGTGAGGTCCTATTGCCAGGTAGAGTTTCAGTAGTAGCCTAACTCAACCTAAAGCAATTTACTTAACCCAAAAGTCAAATTGCTCCACTGAAGCAGGTCAGGTAGAGTTTATTTTAAAAAAGTAGTCTGAGGCTGTAAGAAAGACTAAACCAGAATTAATTTTTAAGAAACCCACAGTTGCTCATTAAACCTACTGGACAGAATTTAACTGAGACACAAAGAAAATGCCAGTGCTGTTGCAGATAGCCTTGAGAGCACTGGTCAGTAGTATTGCTTCAAAATGATGAGACGAACAACAGAATAAGAATTTATTAGCACCAAAGGAAACATGGCATATCTCAATTTATACCTAACCCCCAAATGCAGAACCCCTGCTGTCAACTCCACCACCCATTGTAACAGCTGAAACATCCAAATACTAAGGACAGTATCAACACTGCAGTCAGGTACACCCTGGTGACTTCAGCACTTCTTGCAAAACACAAGGGGACTCTACCAAACCAGTGTGTCTACCATGGTGGTGCACTTACAACATGCTTCAGTTACTATTTTATGGTTTTTATCAATATTATTCAGTATAAGTATAAAAGTTGGACCAAGCTAAATAAAAAACACGGTTCCATAGGTGCTACTTTTGAGATAAGAAATGTTTGGGTGTTTTTATGATTCATTTTTCACAGCATCCAAGTTGTCATGAAGGGTAGGGCAAAAGGTCAGGACAGCTGGCCACAGTCAGTAATGACAATCTTTTTGGAGGGTTTTCCACTCTTGGAACCAAAACTCTCAATTTTTTTCACTACATCCATTCCTTCCTTTACATGCCCAAAAACAACATGCTTTCCATCTAGCCTGTAAAACAAATACACAAAGGCAGTTTTACTTAAAACATAAAGACAGTGTTAGCAGATCTTCATAGCTCTCACCTGCTGACCAACTCTATGGCAAAAGCTCAACTGCCCTTCAGGTGACACAAAGCTTTTTAACATGAATTTAGTTCTGGACCTGATAAACATTCTGAGGGATAGCAGCCTTGTTGCTGTCACAGCTCTTCCTCCCTCAAGTAACAAAACCAATTTATTTTCTATTGGAATGAAGTAATCCGGAAGTAACAACAAGACAAAGAACCAACCAATCGAACAAACAAAAAAATACCAACCCACAAGCAACATAACAAAAATCCCTAAGAAAACCCCAAACCCTTCAGATTCAGGCATCAATTAATGAGGGTAATCTGCAGGGCTGAGAACCTACCAGTCAGTTTTTGCAGTGCAAATGAAGAACTGGGATCCATTTGTGTTGGGTCCTGCATTGGCCATTGAAAGCACACCTGGAACAGCAGCACCTCGTTAGACTGGTGTAACAAGTATGCAGCGCAAAAGACAATTTTCCTCTGCACATTTAAACTAAAGATTGACAGAAGATGTGATAGTCTCTCACAGTATCTCCAAATAATTTCTAATGCCAACTTCCTGCCTTGGATTATTCCCTCCTGCCCAGCCCCCCTTGGTTCCAGAGCAACAGTGTTAGTAACATAATTAGCTGTACACGCCCTGAACGCAATTAACACCAGCTAACCTTTCCTGTGGTTCAACAGCAGCAGCCTCCTGGGACAAGGAAGTAACAATGCAAATAAGAGAGACTATAGAATTCAATTAGATATTCTTTTGTATGGCCTTTCCTTTGCTTTTTCTGGTGTTAATTTGAGCTTAAAAGGACATACCTGTGTTACCTACTAAATAAGAAATTCCATATTGCTTTGTTTTACTTCTGCAGTAATCTTCAAGTAAAAATTCAACTCTATGACTTATGAAAGCAGTAATTTCACCTTTGGACAATTTTAAGTCCCCTTATTGGCTGGCATATATTTGTAGAACAGTCCGCACCAATAAGCATATGCCAGGGACAACACATTGTTCAACATGGTTCAATTTCTTTGATACTTCTGTAATTACCAAGTGACCCATAAATCTAAAAACACTTATTTTTTTAAAAACACATCTTCATAAACAATGCTTTATCATAGGTTATAGTCTTCAGAAGGTAAAAAAGAAAATGTTTATTTACCGGGTCCTACATGCTTAAGTATGAAATTTTCATCTGGAAATCTACTGCCATAAATGGATTTTCCACCAGTTCCATTATGATTTGTAAAGTCACCACCCTGAAACAGAAAAAGATATTAACTCTACTAACATACATGGACTATTTCATATCAGAAGTAATGTTATTGCAAATACACACACTTGCTCTAATTTAAAAGTGACAACATTAACAAATTTTCTTCAGTTTAAGGATGAGCATGGCCACTCAATTTAGAGCCAGTACAGTCAGGCTAAAAGTAGATTTCTGCTTCAGATATGGCTGATATTCTCTGTAACTGCTACAACCATCTCTCTGTGTTACCAGCCTTTCTCCCAGAAGTGATGGAACAAACAGCAGTAATTTTAAGAAACACCTCAAAGGCCTCAAAACCAAATCACTTAAGTTCATTACCACAGGCAAGACCTCCCAACTCCTTTTTCCCCCCTCTTTTCTTCCAACAGGTATAAACACTGGTCAGGATCTCCATTATTATTACCCTTTGCTATTTCTAGGTTTTGCTGTTTGTTACACCAGAGCTATGTTAAGCTTATGTTAGCTGACCCCATGCTGCTTGCCAGAAGAGATGTGACCACCTGTCTCAGGTTAAACACAAAAAACCGGTTCAAACAAAAAATGCAGCCACGGTGACTCACCAAGGTGGCTCCCAACCACTGCTCCCAGCCACATGCCATCTCCTCTGCAGGAGTGACATCACCTGTGCCAGAGAGAACTCATACCCAACAGGTAGTGCATGTGACCCTCAGCTTCCCCTTGTCACCCTGAGTAACCTGCTACAGGTGGTGTCACAGCTGCTCCTACGCAGTCCCAGAGCTATGTGCTGCATGCCGTGTGGAACCATGGAATTGCCCAGTCCCGGATATGATGGCCCTCAATTAGGCCATACCAACTGCCTGAATCACATCAACAATCCATCTCAACAAATGCAGGAGCCACTACTGTTTTCTCTCACTTGAAAATTGCTGAAACCCATGACAGTATTTCCACTTCAGCAATGACCTCTGAGTAATTCCTAAACATCAATTCATTATCTCACCATACCATAATCAACCATCTAGCATCCTGATTTCCAGTCCAGCTGGGGGGCCAAAGCAGGGCAGGCAAGCACAACGGACTTACAGGGAACTTCACAAATTCGTGACAGAATTCAAAGTAGGGTTTGTGTTTGTATTTTTTTAATGCATTTCTGATCCCAGAAAGACTTCTAAACTCTATCCCTCTGTCAGTATCACAAAACCTTAGTCTGCATTTGAAAGGCAGGAAAATAGGTCCTTTACAGCACACCTGTCCCTTTTTTTTTCTTAAAAATAGGTCATACAACTAGGGCCTCTTGTTCTAACAGATGTGGTCTTTGCTTAAAAAAACAATTGAGGATGGGAGACTATCACATTCGTTAATAAATAAAGCATGCTTACTTATAACCTTCAAACTTCCTTAAAATTTTCTCAGATTTTTTACAAAGCCATTCAACAATTCAATATTGTTGAAATGTACCCTTTTTTAAGGTAAGAGAGGACCACCAGGAATCCTGTGCACTACAGCAGGTCCATCCTGCTCATCTGCCAAGCAGCGTACAAAAAGAAGCTTTAAAAAAGCTTTGTTGTTATTCTGGTTGCTGCTGTTTAAGTAAAAAGATGTTAATATGCATGGGCTGTTGTCCAGAATTCCAAAAGATCTGTTCTTTAAACCAAAACAAAATCCATCTCAGATGCATCACCTCAAAAATCAACCCAGATCAACACTTTTGGTTTCCTTGTCCCCTCCATATTACAGAGACATTAAAAAAATACAAAAACACATTGTCTATTGTGAACAGATTATTCTCCTGGGAATAAGGAATGGACATGTTGTTTGTCAGCTCACAGAGAACAGTAAGGTAGATTGTCCTTCTACCCACAACTGCTTCTCCCAAGCAATGCCATGTAGTCAGCTCTGCCCCACACTAAAGTACACTCCTCTACTACAGCAGAAAGCCTTCAGACAGGCTTCTTCTGACCATCCACAAATAACTTACACTTATTTGTACAAAAGATGAGCTAAGCAACAGCTATTACAAAAATATCAGAAATGCAAGTCATGCTGTCACTTCTTTGTTGTTTTGTTAGCAAAGGTTAGAGCAGAGCCATTTCAAATATTACTACTAGTCTGTTTCTAGAAATATGTAAACAATATAAAATTAAATTTAATAAAAAAATTAAAAACCCCCAACATTACCTGGCACATAAATGAAGGAATCACTCTGTGAAAAGTGGATCCTTTATATCCAAATCCCTTCTCACCAGTACAAAGAGCTCTGAAGTTTTCTGTGGAAACAAAGCATAAAGTATTATATTCTGCATTGTAAGTGGCAATACAAACACAACTGGATTAACCATGGCCCAAGATTATAAACTTCAAAAACTTGATTGCATCTTTAAAGTATTATCAATCTATCAGTTATTTCCATACCTTAACAAAACCCTGGTATAAAGCCAAGAAAAAAACCCTTCTTTAGCCTCAGGACAGGGTACCAACATAAGTCTTTTCCATCTCATCTCCCTTTTATTTTGCTGTGACTCCAATTCTCCAACTCCCCCCACTTTTGCCTGTAGTCACAGGTTTCATTTTCTGACTTTGATGCCTTTGTTCTTTACAGCAGTTGTGAGGATTATGTCTTTTTTTAAAGGATATTTGTCTACTAGGAACTAAAAAGTACAAGTTTTTTTCAGAACCACTATATAATCAGAACAGGAAGGAAACAAATGATAAAGCACAAGAACTTTTTAAAATTAATTCACTAATCAGCTAGTGACCAGAAAAATAAAACCCCATATACTCTTTGGAAACTCTAAGAAAGACTACCCCCCTTTGATTTGCCCTTCCCCATTTGCTCTGGGGTTTGATTTTAATGTCAGCTAGTGTGGTTTAAACATATTCAGCACCATTAACCCAATATATGAACTGTACTGTCTTGGTGCAAATTGCAAAATCAAACTACCTGGAAAAATAACAAATTCCATCTCCTCACTAACACTTCCTGTCATATTTCTCCATATAACAACTGGGGATAGAACAAGAAAAAACGTTGTAAAGGGTAAAAGCACCTTCTCATTCCTGAAAATCACCATCTATAAATTAAGTATTTAAGTATGAAATTCTGAAGATGCTGCCTCACCTGCTGTCTTTGGGACCACGTCAGCTTTCAGCTGTTAAAGAAAAATAAACAGACAAATTCATAAGTCAGCCTTTTCAAATGTACATAAAAAACATTTACATGAGACTCTTCTCCCAAAGTGTTATCTGAAATCACAAGCCATCCAAAATTCCATGAATACCTCAAAACTTTCCAAGCATTTGGCCAGCAATGAAAAATATCCCCTGAATGAAACCTTTAGCCAGTTAATGAAGAGCCACTTGAGCAGTGTCTAATGGTTTCACTGATCAATTAATAATTGAGCAGTACTTAAGAAGAATCTTCATAATAGACCCCAAGAGTTTGGATACAACTAGAGAGACCAAAGTCCTCCTCCAGCCCCTGCACAGAACCAGCTGTTGAAAATGACAGAAAAGGCAAAGGAAACAGAAGAGTAGAAACTGTGCATCAAAACCAACTTACAATGTTACATACACATTTGCAACCAACGAAAACTTCTGATTTTGATTACTGTACATCTTTTTACTATCCTTTAAAAGGGATATAAAACTGGCCATACTAGCCAGACCAGTTTTACCTAGCCGGACATCCTGACCAGCAGCAGACACCTAGAAACAGCATGGCTGCAGTAAGATTTTCATGTTCCTTCCCTAGGCCACTCTTCTCGGATAGCTATAACTTGCAGCAGACCACTACAGCTCAGCCAAAGATTCAAGGTGATGCTGCAAGACATTCAGACTATCTCTAAACTGGGCAGATTAAAGAACTTTAGCATAGAAATTAAATGCTACCACAAGAAACACAGGAACATTAATGTTATTTTTTTAAAAATACCACCCAGAATGAGGAACTTGAAGAGTAATATTTTTACCTATGACTCCCTGAAATGCTACCTCCTGAGAGCACAACAGCTAGAACAGTCCAATTTATTAATACGCTAACACTACCGATAAATAAAAATATACTGGGCTCTAGTCTCAAAGGAACCTCTTTTAGAGAGAACTCTGATGAATTATATTTTAAAAAAATACTACAAATACAGACCCAAGGTCTGTATTTGTAGTATTTCACTGACTTCCCTCAGCAGGCAGCATTCCTAAGAGCTTAATTCGCTCTCCAGCCCGTGGTTCTGGAGCACAGCCCTCACTCTTTCCCATACACACTGCATCTATGTGAGGCACATCCCGGCCCGAGGGTCGCAGGTACATAACGTAGTACACGGTGCCCACGGCGCTTTTTTTCCTTTAAGAACAGATATTACAGAAGTTTTTCTCTTCAGGCCTTCTTCACATGGCCGAGCATTTCAGAGACGGGATTTTTCAGGATGGAGCCAGCTGGCATCCGGCTCTTGAGCTTGCTGTCAGCAGCGCGGTGCCCTTCGCGGCACGTGGAGCCAGAGGCTCGAGGAGGAGGGAACTTCAGGAAACTGACAGCCTCAGGATGCACAGGAACCACACAGCGAGCGCCCACTAAAACACAGGATCAACCTGGGGGCTGGCCCCCGGTGGGAAGGCCAGCGACCCCGGTGCCGCTGGGACACCGCTCGCCCCTCTCAAAGCCAGCGGCACACGACAGCAGCGAGTTCATTCTTATTCAGTATTTCTGCTTACACACTATGCAACTTCCTTCGAGGCTCGCAGCCACACCAGGGCCGTGCCCTCCGCCCCGGCTGTCTCGTGGGATGGCCTTAGGGACCGGCCGCGGGCACAGGCGGGCCGCGGCTCAGTGAGAGCCCCGGTCCGAGCCCAGCCCACCCCTCCTGGAGGGACCGTACCACCGCCCTCTTGCCCCGGGAGAGGAGCCCCAGGGCAGCCAGGCAGCGGCTCCGCCAGGCGGGCGAGCCCCGCCATCCCCCGGGCCCCTCTCCCGCCCGCACCGGGATCTGTGTGCCCTCGCCGCGGGCCCTGGAGCCGGCGCTGCCCGCCCGCCCTGACCTTGCCCGCTCCCCAGCCGCCATGCCCGGGGCCAGGCCGCCCTCAGCTCCGCAGCACCGTCCCCTGGGGCCCGTGCCGGGCCGGCTTCCCGCAGCCCCCGCGCCCCTACCTCCAGCACGACGCGTCCCAGCGGCTGATTGTCGGCGCCCACGTCCAAGTACACCACCGGGTTCGGCGAGCCGGCGCCGGCCCCGCTGCAGCCGCGGGTACCGGCCGCCCACATGCAGGCGAGCCCCGGCGGCGGCAGCAGGTCCCCGGGCGGGCGAAGCAGGCGGCGGGCGGCGCTCAGCGCCAGCATCCCGCGGGCGGACAGAGCGCAGAGCGGGCGCTGCCAGCCACAGACGCGCGGACAGATACAAGGACACGCCGCCGCTGCCCCGCGGCCTTTATGGGCTCCGCCGCGGCGCCGCAGCGCCCGCTGGTGACGGCGGCAGCAGCAGCAGCGTAGGGTGAGATGGCGGCTGGGGCGGAGCGGGCTGAGGCGCCCTGGGGCGGCCCAGCGGGCTGAACGCGGGGTCCGGGCAGTGCCCAGCGGGCTGAAACCCCAGGATGAAGCTGGAGACGCGCTAGAAGGGCTCCACGGGCCGGCCGGGGCGGAGCGGGCTGAAGGCGGGGAGCCGGCGGCCCCTCGTGCTCGCCCCTGCTGCCCTCAGTGCTGCCCCCTCCCCGCCCACCATTGCCCAGCGATCGTTTGGGGATGTTTGTGGGGATCTCGTTTGTCCGTTTGCGTGTGGGGCTTTTTAGGGTTTTTTGCACATTTCCTCACAGCTCCGTTACCCCAACAGAGACGGGGAAGTTTCTAAAATTTCATCATTCTACACAATGGCTCCGGAGAGGCGGGGAAGGCGGCGCAGCTGTCACAGGTGCGGGATAATTGGGATCAGCGGGGGCACGGGAGTCACGGGCAGCATCCCGGGAGTTTCGGCACTGACGCGTCTCAAAACGCGGGTGTCCCTGAGTCACCCCGCAGCGCAGCCCCGGCCGTGCGCTCAGCAGCGCTCCGGAGCCCGCCTGCGCTTGGGCCGCAAACCTGCCCCGGGGATTACGGTAATAGCAGTCCCGGTTTAATGTAGTGAAATATCGTTCGTGTTTTATATGAAAATAACAACACATATAATTTTAAGTTTTCTTAATTTAGCAACTTAGATGAAAGTACTCAGTACACATTGATATTACTTTTTAGATATTATTTTGAATTTTCCAGTTTCCATCCTGATTTCAGGTATAAGTACTTCCAAAAGTTCTTCAAATTCTTAATGCCATAAGATATCAAAAAAAAAAAAGAAAGAAAATCAAACATAATTCTAATACTTTTTACATTTCTTTGTAGGAGGATAGAATATAAGAAAATAAAGATAGTGTAGAAAGTAATCTTGCCCCTAAGGAGTTGCAGCTGGGCCAATTATCAAAGATCAGGAGCAGGCCTGACTTTAACAGGCCACAGGTGTAACCAATGAGAAGAAGATGCTATAAAAGAGTGGGGTGGCTGGGTGAGAGGGGAACTGGAGTCAGTTGGCTGCTTTGTGAAGAAGAGAGAGTCAGTGCTCTGAGGAGCTGCCCACGAGAAAGACCAAGAAGGTACGGAACTTTTGTGATAAAGAGACAACAGTATGGAACCCTGCAATAAGAGGACAATGTTTCTTGTATTATAAATTAGAGTTATTTTAATGAAGTTTACAGTAATGTAGTAGTGTAATACAGTATAACAGAATCATACAAATACTGTAATACAGTAGAACAGAATCATACAGCCCCTACATGAGGAATAGTAAACTTTCAATCCCACCTAAGTTCTTTGTGTCAAGCAGCTAAAAGAGCCTTCATTGGTAACATTCACTGAATAAACAGAAAGCTGTCAGTCAAGGTACTGCCACAAAGATCAGGGCTAGACTATAATGTGCAATTACAAACAACTGAGAAATCCTAGACTAACACCATTTTTCAGGCACATGCTCCAGAGAGACCCTTAACTGCTGATGCTGTAAGAATGACTATAGCAGGTACCACACTCTGTAACTACAGAACCATATAATGCTATGTTAAAAGGTCCATCTTGTCCTGAGGCTCCCCAGAAATGCCTAAGGAGGAGTGAAAATGGGGGAGAGGGGTGTATTATAGACCAGTATGCTTTCAACCTGATACTGCTTTCACTCCAGAGAACTTCCTAAGCTGGCTTTGGTATGTAGCCATCTTTTTTTTTGTTGTTGTTGTTGTTGTTCCCATGTACTTATCCACTCATTGGACGGGTTTTAAATCAGCAGCTTCCTTGGTGATGAACTGGAAGCTGCCCTTCCACAGGCCTGCTGCTCAGAGCACAAGAGTCTGTTTGAATATTGCTCCAGTTGCCTTCATCAATGTGCCTTACTTCTTGTGCTGGAGGAGACTAATTGTTTGGTATCTATCTTTGTCATAAAGACCTACAGCTCTTTTCTCATTTCAAGACTGAAGAATCAAAGCTAACTCAATTATTATTTATAACAAAGCTCTTCCATGTCTTTGGATCATCTTTATTATCCTTCTCTGAGCTGTTCCACTCTTACAGATTTTTGGGATAAAAGGAGCTTTGCACAGTATTCAAGATAAGGATGAACAATGACTTTGTGCATACAATGCCATGCTGGTATTTTCTATTTCTTTGCCAATAACCTTAAGGTTTTTTGTTTGTTTTTTTGTTTGTTTGGGTTTTTTTAAATAGGATCTAAATCAGCACTTCTACCTAGCTTGTTATATCTTCTCAGCTTCAAGTCTATTTTTGGTAAATTTTGACTTCTGTTAATCTAATCATCAACCAATATTCTAGTAAAAAACCTCATACTCCTTTTTAATAATGTTTTAATTGAAGTAGCCACTAGAAGCCCAAATCAAAATTGTTCTGTTTATACCTAGAAAAACAGACAGTTCTGGCCCTGAAGGATTTGTTATTTAATAAACAAGACAAAAGATGAGCAAAAGAAAATACCATCTTGTGTCACACTTGGGAAACACAGTGAAACAGCTTTTTGCTCAGCAGAGTTCACGGACATCTTTGGTAGAGCAAACAGCAGAGTTTTTCTCATTTGCAGGCCTTGGTGAGAAGACAAAACAGCAGCGATTTTTGTATTTGAGAATATGGACTGAATTATTATCTCTAGGTTTATGCAACAGAGCTACTAAATCACTTGTTATAGTCTACTCCTGCAGAGTCAGATGAATTACAGCTCATTCAGACAGCTTGACTAAGAACTTGTGAATTACAGAGGTCACTTTCCAAGAAGGACAGAAAAAGATCTCCAAAAACTGTCCAAGGCCACTATATCACTGCCAAATGAGGCTTAGAGCTACCTCAGCAAACTGATACAATTTTAGGGGAGCTTTGAACACATCCATTTGTAGACTTGTTCATCATTGAAACTCTGCAACATGTGGCAGGGGATAAGTGCATTGAGCTGGAAAATGAGTGCACCCCACATTAACTACATAGGCAACAGTGCATGGGTGCAGACAAAAGTCAGAAGAGCTGCTTCAGCAGAGCTCTCATGGATATGGGTACCTGCCCTTACAGGTTTCATCATCCTTTCTCCCTTCCCCCAAAATTACACAGAAGTTAGAAATGGATAAACAAGGAGGGCCCTTTTGAAATCAGTTTCTAAATTTTAAAAACCACCTACCAAAGGACCCTTCTTATGTTGTAGCTGAGAAATTTCTGTACAGGAAAAAGAACCTTGAATGATACAATAACAGAATTTCATGCTGAAATATTACTTACAACTTGAAAGTCTTCATAAAAGCTGTTCAGTAACTGATTAAATATTACCACCACTGTGCCAAGACAGCCAGGAAACAGTAAGAGCGGTCAAGTGGCTCTTCCAAAGAAACAGAAGGACTAAATGCTTGAAAGGTGACCTAAAATTTGGGAATTTTGATTTGAAGGATCTTGAAATGCAGTGCACAGATAAAAAGGTGATATGCATTCCTGATTCTAACTGTCCAGCTGCATGCCTGCTCATTTGTGGCACAGGAATGTGGGTTAATTGTTAATCTTGGATTGATGCTGTTGGCAGATGTGATAAGATTGCATTTTGCAATCTCCCTACTGCAAGAATCCAACCATATGGAACTCAGAATGGTCTGTGGCCCATTTTGATATGCTCCTCATGGGGCTGTGTACTTGGACCATGCCAATAAAATCTCAAATACAGGCTGGAGCAATCTACCATTAAGTGCATTGCGCAGGAACATCACTTGATACTGTGATACAGGGAGTTCCCACGATACTGGTTCTGACATTCGTAAGAATGAATGCACATATGGGACATGGTTATCTCAAGGACTCTGCTAATCAGGACTGTTAGAATAAGGAGAGGTCATACAGGTACTCAGCTTGATTTTAAGTGACGAGAGCAGGAATTTGCAGTGGGCATTTCCACTCTCCACCTGTAGAGCCTGGATGTGTGGCACTTCAAAAGACTCAGCCTAATATTTTCTTCAAGGTTTTGGCTAAGCTGGAAGATGAGTGAAGAGCTGGAAAGGAACTCTGATCTCTGTCTGTGATATGCATTTATTTATGAATGGGGATTGGAGTGGGGGAGATGGTGAAACACCTCCATTGCACTAAGTGATTGCAGTGTGAAATTAAACTATACAAGAGCTCAAAGGGCATAGAGTGGCCACATGGGTACACTTAAGGATAAAAAGAAAAAATGCTAATAAATATTTCCCCTGATCCAGGTTTCCTCTTAGGAACTTGTAGTAATTCAGCTCACTACGTGAACATTCTCTCCAGCACACATTGTACTTAAAGGAGCAGTTTCCCCACATGACTTCATTCTAATTACCTACAAATAGTCATACAAGAAAAACCTCAATCCACTCATGCTCTTTACAGCTGTGATTAGCATTTTCATTTCAGAACTTCTGAGTGACATTGCTTGCCCGGAATTCATTACTCAATCTCCCTGCATAATGCATGGCAGCCCGCTGCTGATGTGTCACAGTGCCTCTATGCAGTGCCCAGAACGCTGTCCATACACTGCAACAGCTGCCAACAGATAGATCACATCAGCCTGGCAAAGCACTTTGGACATTTAAAATGCCTGGTTTTAGATTCTAGGAAAAATGCAGCTACTACTCCCAGTGGCCTCACAAATCTTCAGGACATCAATAGGTGGTTCTGCCTGTGGGTGGGAGAGACCCTGCATACTTAAAAAGCAGTATTAAGAGTTACAGGAGCCCTTCTACCTCTAAAACCACAGAAATTTCAATTGTAACACAACTTGAAATTTACAGGGATCAGTTAAGTTAATTTACCACCTCTGCTCTGAGGAACAAGTAATTAGGGAATAGTATCAGAAAT